AGAGAGAGGGGGGGGGGAATGAGTGAGAGAGAAATGTGTGGGGTGAGTGTGCTCCAACAAGACAAATGAGCCCGTGTGTCGCAGTCAATCGCCAATATAATCTTGTTTTTCTCGTTCTGTGAAAAATAATTCCTCTCAACCTGAGCTCTAGCCCTGGGCTGTGCCCTTGCCAAATACATTACGTATTCTGAAAAGTTTGCTAAAAATTGTATAAGTGCTTCATTAAGTAGCCTTATTTTCTAAATGTTTCACATGTGGTGTTTGCGATAGAATAAAAACTTTTTTCTCGAATTTGCCATATCAGCCACAAAAACGACGTCTAGTGGGAATAAAAGTGCAACATTGAAGGGGAAAAAACGATAAATATATTGGAATAATATTAATAGTTTAATGTTTGCTCTCTGTGATTTAGTGAAATGTGTGTTTGAAATATTTTCTCGTAAGATACAAGTCTATTCCAACGAAAAAGAAATTAAAGGCTTTGTTTCATTTTACAGCCTTTCCTTTACCCTGACTTGCTGTTTCAATCTTGTTGCAAAAGCTAAAGGCTAGCAGCCTTGAAGGCCTTTTTATGTCACTGTGCAGCTTCTTAGGAGAAAGCCACTATGTGAGTTCTTGCGGACAGCTTGGTTGGAAAGCTGTCTACGAACTACTCCATGATTGTTGGTAAATCAACCTCCACCCCACACGTTCAAAACAAACTATCTTGTGTTAAGTAACGCTTCACGTGCTAATAAAAGCAAATAAACATACTCGTCATGATCCCATCTTAAAGATACAATTGTCCATCGCAGCAAAGCAAGATATATAAGGACAAGCATATTTCCGAATAAAGCTTAACACAGAGGCATTCACACGAATCTTCATCAGAAGTTGAAACTGAAGCGATCCAGTTTTTGCCGATTGGGTGGCTCGCTGAGCGTGTTCTCCGTTTGCACCCCATTTTGCGAACGAAAAAGAAGAAAACTATAAAAGATTATTGGTGAAGTTAAAACCTTATTTTACATAAATGCAAAGGTGTAATTAAGAAGTAAATGCATCTATGTTCCACTTGTCAACTGATGAACATAATCAAATCTGGTCTGTTTTCTTCGTCTTTCCAGTTCAACTTTTGGACACAGAAGATTCCATATGGCGGATTTGATCGTTTTTTGAGAGCAGTAAAGCACTGGATTGATAGCAGAGTTAATGTAACCCATCCATGTTACACAAAGGTGAAGCGCCAGTGGCATGGAATAACTGACGAACGGTGTCACAACACTCCATATACTAAACGGCATCCAACAGATTGCAAAACACAGTATTAGACGGCCGATTGCTTTTGCCGTTTTAACGTTTTTACCTCTATGCTTGCTTTTCTTTAACTTTGTCTCTTTGTATTCATAGTTGTGTCTTTTCAAACGACCCTCAGGCCCTTCAAGGACTGAGAGACCGGAACTGTTCTCTCTCGAAATCCCTAGGGCCTCTTTCTGTTGGTTGTCTATATCTGTATTATGTGTATGTGTGCCTGAAAGCGTCACACTTGATGAAGAATGATACTTCTCACTTCGTCTAGCTTCAATAAATATAAGAGAATAGATAATGATAATGATGATGAGAGGGCCGTAAAATGACATGGAAGCCATGGCCAGCTGAAATGGCACGTTGACCATCAGAACACACATCGATATGCCGTCTCCCAGTTCCAAACAACTAGCAAGCGCCTCAATACCCATAGTGTGCCAGTTGCACAATACTGGCAGTGCCACGATGGACAGGGGCACAAGCCAGCTCATGCCTAGCATGAGATACGTGGTTTTCATAGATAAAGTCCGATACACCCAAGGCTTACACACAGCCAAGTAGCGCTCAATAGCCATATTGGTCACGTGGAAAATAGAGACCGTAGAGAGAACAACATCCGTCGTGACTCTGATGTCACACATTTCCCGGCCTATGTCCCAGCGGCCGTTGTTGAGGATCTCGTAGATGCCCAAAGGCAGGATGAAAGCCCCCAGAACGGCGTCTGAAAACGCCATGGATGAAACAAGGTACGTCGTGATGGTTCGTTCCTGGTGCCTTGGTCGCACTAAGGCGATGATGACAACCATGTTGGATACGACAGTAAAGGCGGCGATGAGAGACAGGAAAGCGGAGATAACTATGAGCACATCTTGGTTGTAGGTTATGAGATGTCTTTCTGAACGTGGATCCACTCCAAAGACGTGGCAGCTTGTGTTATTCATTTTGGATGGCTACTTCGATGGACACCTACAGGGTTCTTTTTTCTTTGGTAAACGGTGTTTTCTGTTGAAGATAAGACAAGATAGTGATACGTTACTGATCTCCCACTGAAAAGTAGTAACAGTCAGTTTTCACTGTCGTGTGAGATACAAAATGTACATAAAAATATACATAGCAATATATCAAAATCTCTCTCTCTCTCTCTCTCTCTCTCTCTCTCTCTCTCTCTCTCTCTCTCT